ATAAACAACAAAAATAGACTAGGTTATCATTATTCTTTCTCCAGTTTTGACCCACTTGAAAAGTTTTCTCTGAAAGCGCAGAAAAATTTCATAATTAGTTTCAGTTTAAAAGTAAAAGGGAGATATTTAATGGTTATTCAAAGCTGTTGGAATTATTTGAAATAAAGGTGAGTCTAAAAGTTTAATATTTAGCTGTCACTATGTTTGAACTGCGAAGTGTAGGCAAAAAATTTCTTCCAGGTATCAAACCTTACATTTCAGACAGAAAAAAATGTAAATTTGAATTTTTCCCCTCTGTATTATTATTGTTTTTGTTTATGTGTTTTTGATAAATATATAATAAGAGAAGTTTAAAATTAGTTAATATATCTTTTTTTATTTTGGTGATAAAAAATTGCATTTTGTTATAAGAAAATCTGGCCCTTCAGCTATTTTTAGATTGCTCATTCGGTTCACGTGCAGTAGTTTGAGTTTGAGACCACTGACCTAACCGACAAATATATCTGATTTTAAATTGAAGGATATGAGCAAAATTCTAAAATACATCTTCAAAAATTTCCAGTGAAAGACAGGACGGAAATTTACTTCTTGTCTGTAAATTATACTCCAAACTTTTACTTGCCTTATCAAATACTAATATAAAGACAAAAATGCATTGAAGTTACGCTGCTTTTTCTCTGATTAAATTTTACATTTATTTTCATATTATTATAACATTTTGAGCCCTGTTAAAAATTATTCCAGTTATATGAACGTTTTCAAACAACTGTCTTTTAAATAATTTTATACGCATTTTTGTTTGCAGAATTACATTGCGATTTATAAAGTATGCAGGTTAAGATGAAAGTAATTCAAATTTGGAAGCAAGTATTTTTTTCAAACAAATTAGAACAAATTAGAATTGCAAATCATTCAAAGATTTTCCTTTGATTATTCTAACTTTTCGAAGAAAATGGGGAAAGAAAATACTTGTGATTCTTCTTTACATATTAATGTACAAAATTTATTATCAGAATTCATTTATGTTCATTATAATTTCTCCTTTTTTGTTTTAATCAAATTCAAGTTTATTTTTTGTAATTTCAGTGATCAATTGCGAATTATTTTCTTCACACTATTTGAAGCATTTCTGTTAGTTGGTTCGCTATTTTCCAAGAAATTCCTTTCTACGAATTTCGGACATGCGTTTGAACTAAATAAGAAATAAAAGCTCAAAAAATTAAATAAAAGCACTGTTTATTTATTCAGTAAAGTCTTCTAAATTTAAGCATTTATTTGTCCCTATTTTGTGATAGATTTAAGCACATGACTGAAAGACTTTTCTCTTTGCCTGTCAGACAGACATGTCAGATATTGAACACTAATAATTTATAATGCAATGATTCATATAATTTTTGAAAACTGAAATATAAAATTAAATGAGATTGAAAAAAAAACACCTTAACATATTAAAAAAAAGTAAACTCTGACTTGAAAGCCTAAAGCAATTTTGTATATCTGAGATGAGACTATTTCAGGCATCCAAAATCTATTTCTTTCGTCTTTATAAGAAAGAACAAAAAAGGACTTAATTTGCTTTCAAGTGTGGGCCAATGAGCATAAAAAAGTTCAATCATTGAAGCATTTGACGTAATCGACTGAATTCGAAGCAAGCCAAAACACTCAAGTATTTCTCATTATTTATTCATTTTTCTGCTATGAATAACAAAGCATGGGTAATCCGATCGATGTAGATATAATCATTTGAGCGTATTTTTATTTGCAACGAATCAATAGCAATGTCAGAATGAATGAACTCGAATTAAAAAAATGGTAACTCATTCGGAAAGAAATGCGACGAGGGCTTTGACATTTAAATTTCTAGAAACGGAAAAAATCTTTATTAGAATCATCAGCGCATCCCTGAAATATGCATGAAGGATATCCGACTGAAAGAAGAATATTATAATAAAATTTAAGCATCACGTCTTCTAATTGATAAGTAATGCATTTCGACAGTAAAATATTCTCCAATTCTTTTCAACAGAAATTCCTTTTCTTATTAAAAATTACCTTAATTTTGAATAAAAGAAATAAATGTATATGTATTCTTTAGACGGACTCAATTTAATGCTTTTGTCATCAAAAAAGTAATAAGACAATGATTTTTAACATCCTCAGATGAATTCAAAGACTGCATAGAATTTAAAGTTATCATCTGATAGAAACTGTTGCTGTCAGTTAAAGAAAAAGTATGCATGCCATTGCCGTTTATTAGATAATTATTCAATGATGAACTTGCGTATAAACGCAGAACTCCGTTTATCCGCATTGCTTGCTCTTCTCTCTAGACCAAGAAAATTTTATCTTGCAATTCAGTTAATTATATGCTTTTGATGTTTTAAGTATTTAAGTAGCATAGAAAGATAAAGCAGAAATTTAAATAATTTTAAGAAGCTATTTATATATTTATTCAGCTGAATGTATGAGAAATGAAAACAAGTCTACATTAATCAACAAATGCATAACTTATAAATATTTACCCATCCGCAAAAGGAAATAAAATAATTAAATTAATTACCAGTATTTTTTTGTCTTTAATAAGTAGCATAACAAATGCGGTCTGTTAACCTTTTGATGTGTGTCGCATTGTTCTTTGCATATAGTTTTTTATTCCTTATGATGCAATGCTAATTTTCTTTGGAGCGCAAAGCTATTTTTAATCCTTATAGTCTACGTTGTAACTAAACGGTAAATGATCAAACAAAATTCGCTCTATTGCACCGTAATAAACCCTTATTTGGTTAATAGAGAAAAAGCAACCCAATTATCCGTATAGGTTGTAACCCAGTTATTCCGAAAATCTGGAGCTTTTCTGCATTGTTTCATTTATATACCATAAAGCAAAGCTTAATTTTTGGCTATGGCATTTTGGGGGGGGGGCTTTCGTATTCTACCGTCGACGCTCGAAAGTGCAGAGAACTTTTGTTTTTATTTCAATACTGTAAATAAATTAATACTTACCCAGTTCATATTTCACATATAAATAGGGAGATACTAATGGTGATATGTACTCGCAATAGGTAATCGCTCTACTTAATGAGAATTAAAACAACTTAAATTATCTGAAAAAGTGTTGCTCTAGAAGAATATTTAAGAACACCAAATTCTGTATTTTAATAGAATATGTATCAGAATCAATTATTAAACTAAAGAAAAGCTTACAAAGGCCATCTGCCTAAGTTCCATTCCAATTCAGACAGAGTGGACGTTAAGGGATAGAATCCAAAGACTTAGTATCCCTGTTTTCTTACAACCATCCTCAACAACGGAATTTCGAATAGACAGATTTTAAGTGCTTATTCTAACGAAACACTAAATATGGAAAAATAATAATAATCCAGGAACTGAAATACATTTATCTTTTCTGTTAAATAAATATTCAAATGACAGCCTAACTGCTGAAGAGGTATTTAGGTAATCTTGAAGTAAAAGGTGGGGAAAATCAGTTATGTTCTTATCGGGAATTGCAGAGTAGACCTCCATAGGTGTCCATTAAAGCGTGGAGGAAATATAAGATTCGAAGGTCAATTTTCGGGAATGATACATTTGGTATTTTTTTCTGTTTTAAAAAAACCTAATTGTCTCTAGAATTGTTGTGTTTCAGTTATCCAAACATATTTTCTACAGCACTGATACCAATTAGTCACAACAATATTACATACATTTCTTGGACATAGATAGATATTAGTTCATGGTACATCCGTATTAGTTACACGATATCATTTTTCTTCATATAATGGATTAGGTCGCATAATAATTACCTTACATTTATTTACGACATTTTGTTGGATTTAAACTTTCACATACATTGTGAAAAAAAGGACTTAAAAACTCACCTTTTTTAATAGCCTTTAAACTTAATTAAAAGATGGTTACTTTGTTCTGATAGAGTCAAAAATCTTCATTTTTTCCTCACCAAAGTCTTAAAGAATTTCTGTACATTGCTCTAACAACTTAAAGCCCTGGTGATAAAAGTAAAGTAATCAGTGATATTTTACGAGCTTTCGCCTCTCGACCTTATTTGAAACATCTTGCTTTATTTACTCAGCCAAAGTTTGACACAGACGGCTGTGAGAGACTTTCTTGAGCTTCCGGAGCGCGTCAAAGTGTCTGTTAAAAAAATCTCCTTTATCTTTCGGCATAAAGGACAGCTTGTCTTACAGCTTGAGCCTCTCATTCCGTAGGACCTGCGACAAACCTCTGCTCCGTCATTGTTCTTTGGATCTCTTTATTGTCTTGCTTTATTTATTCATTGGGCGGTAAACGGAATCCTTTAGAAATCCTCCAAAGGACAAAATCTTTTAACACTACAGCTTTCGTTGAAATAATTACTTCTCGCTAGTTTCATTTCGAAGATAATAAATCTTAATGATAGCACTGCCATTTTGAAAGCATCATCTCACTCCGAATGATAAATAAAGAGTTGAGATAAAAAGTTTCCTTAAGTTAGGTAATAATGCATATCTTGGAAAATGGAAATCTTTTCATGTTGCTGGCAGAGCGGCAAATTATTTATGGCTTGCAAAAAAACAAATTGTTATATATATATGTTTTAGGAAATGCAAATCATTGCTCGTGTTTTCCTGTTAAGGTGTGACTTCGAGTTTAATAACTTAGAAGGCACTGATAATTCCTTTTATACGCAGTCTCAAATGCTTGGGAAATATTAAACCTGAACTTTATGTCAAACAACTCTTTCTCTCTCAATAAAAAGTTTTCAAATGTTTCTTTAAAATACTGTACAAAAACAGATTGCTTGAAAAGCCCATCAATCATGTAGTAAATTCAGAAACCACAGCGCAAAATAATGCACGCAAAAATGTATGTACTTCTTAAATCTTTGTAAAAACATAAAATGATCATGGAACTAAATTTTGAAAATTTAGGCTACTCCAACAGAAGTATAAAAACAACACAAGCGATTTACTGTACTGAAAGAAAAATGATTGATCACTTACTTGCTGTCATCGATGGAGACAGAATCCAAAACACAAGCAGCGTACTGTAGAGCATTTTGCAGAACTGATACAGGTATTTCTCCGTGCTGTAAGTGCCTAGCCAGTTCTCTAAGCCTGATAGAAACAGAAGCAGCATGAATAACACTTTTTAACACTTAAAAGATAAACTATATTGTTAACATATAAGAAAATGAAACGGGTTAAGAGTACTGGATATTGCATATTGTTGACTCTGAAACACAAAGATTTAAAATTAGGGTAAAGAAATTTTTTGAAAAACTAATCAGTCTGATCTTGCTGAAAATTTCACTTTATTCACGTACAATGTCTCAATGTTTATGGTTCATATTAATACATATTGTAAAAGGAAAGCTTTAACTTTTATTCAAAGATTAATTTTTATATTTCACTAACCCGTAAATAACGAAGCGTATTTTGGAAAGAAAGCGAAATAATGTTCCTTATTTATATTACTTTATTTGCATATTGTCCTTTTTAAGATAATATAATAGCTGTAAATTAAAACTTAAGCAAATACCTGATGTTCATACAGCATAGAATAGATGAGTGAAGAATCTAATTACATTAAGAATAATTTCTAATTTTTGTTTGGATTTTACTGAATTAAACTTTGCAAATGATTCAAGATAAAACTTCCACTAAATTAAAGCATTCTTTCGCTATACTCTCCTGCACGGAATATTTAGGAATTCAATTTTGCTGATAGGGATTTACAATATTTTTTGCATCAAGTACACGAAAGGGATATATTTACATAAATCATAGAATAAATATAGTTAGTAGTTGTATATCACTTTTAATCGATAGGATTTTCTCGTAAACATGTAAATATCCTTGTGAAGATAAATTAGTTGAAGAGAGAAGTAATACAAATGCATTTTAGATTTAGAGTTAAATAATCTCTTATGCATCATTATGCCTTCTTTAACATTTTGTAAAATATTTCTTTTAACGTGGAGGCCATCATGTTTCCTGTAAGTAATTTTTTTATAACTTTCCATACCTCAATAGGCATTACTAGTTTACGATACTCTTTATTTGTTATTTATTTCTCTTACTTTTAAGGAGGGTTTCTCTGTTCACTAATGTATAAAATTTTAGAGAAAGGGAACATATTTCAGTTGTGCAGTAGTTCAGGTATTCTGCTGCAGCTAGGAAAATATTTATTGCAATTTGGAAAAAGGTTTGGAACGATGTTCAAAAATTGAGAAAGGACGGGCTCTAACAACATGAAATAATGAACTTATACCTGTTTTACACAAAACATATCGCTTCTCTAAATAATTGGAAGGCGAAGGGAGCTACATGGCATTTACAAGCACGTTTTTTCGTGAAGGAATTTTGCGGTTTCGATTCAAACCACACGTATTGGAATCAAATCTTTTCTATGAAATCAGAAAATTATTGGTGCGTTGCGGTTTCGAAAGCTAGAAATTTCTGTTCGGGGAAAAATCTTGGACAGAATGAGATATCGAACTTTTCTTTTTTAACTGAAGTCCCTTGCATATAAATGGAGCTTAAATTTGTTATGAGAGACACGCTGAAATTTCTTTTGGAATTTTCCTGCTTAAGATTGAGCTTGAAAATTTCTATTGTAGATGAAAATAAAAACTGAGAAATACGCATGTAAAACTTCAGTGAAATAATGGATGATCTTGAGCAAAAATAATACGAGTAATTTATAACAACCTTCCAAGGTAGGAAAATGCATTTAATTGTGAAAGCCTTAGAGGAAATTAAAAGAAATTTAAAAAAGACTAATGATATACAATAGTTATGCATTATTCAGCAGTGCTGTTTACTCAAGTTTACTGCTTTTCATTTAGCAGGAAGCTTCAAGAGAAGTTTCATATCTTCCTTTGGACAATATATTAGAACTGCCTAAGTAAACTTACAATAAAAAATAAAAGTAAAAATATTTATTGTGCTCAAATTGTAGCATAGCAACTAAATATACTGATATAGAAATGAAATATTGTAGAACTTTCGAAACGTTAATGGACCCGGCTCAGTTTTCAATCCTTTTTGAAAGAAAGTGTAACAGCATAGCGCTCACCCTCATATATTAATATGTTTTTCGTCTGTTTACGGTTTTTGTGCTAAATGATTTTGAAAGTAAAATACGAAACCACTTAAAAATCGGGTTATGATTTCTGATTCGAAATTATTTAGTTTGTCATTATTTCTGTACGTTTTCAAAAGCTGTTTGTTCTGAAATTTTATGTCTCTGTTTGTATTATATACAAAATTAAAAAAAAAAAAAAAACGTTTTTTTGAAACTACCTGACAAACAAAATACTGTCATTAGTTTTACATATGTATATTGTTTAATTATAAAGCTATATCATAAATATGAAAGTATATGTCGAAGCTTACGTTTTAAAAATACGTTTACGTTACGTCGAAGCTTACGTTTTTAAGAAGCTGACGTTTTAAAAATCTATAGTGTTTTAACCTAAGTATGTAAAAAGAAAATTTTTAATGCTTTAAAGAACAGAAGATAGTTATACGGCAATGCCTAACATTTTGGTGAATGACTGATTATGGCAAAGCGCGGCTAGTTTTATCTGCCTTAAGAAGAATGAATTTTCTTCCTGACTTTCTGAAGATGCCTGGCTCGTGATCTTTTATATATGTAAAAGAAAACACTTATCATTTTTTCTATAGTCTTTATTAACGACTGGCGTAACTACAGAATTATGGAAATAAATTAGGGCTAATTAATTTAAGGCTAAGTGTTTAAATATTAAGAACAAAAATATGGATAGGTTACTTTCCGACGAAACTATGTTTATTGGATTAGATGAAAGTCATAAAAGCTGACTGAGTTAATTAGGACTTTTAGAATTAGTAAGTTATAAAAATTAACGAAACATGCTTAATTATGTGGAAATATAGTAATTTTCTCTTTCGTTTGTTTAAGGAAAGTACAATAATAAATAAAAAATCACATAATTGTATCATAATTATTGCAAGACCAAGTCAAGACATTTCAGTTTATGTTTCGATATAATTTCATTATGAACAGCTTCAAGCTCTTATTGGAGACCAAACAATGGAAAGTCACTGGTTGTCTCCCTAGAAGGAAAGAACTACGACTTGCGGGGAAAAATAGAAAAGGACTACAAAAAAATTAATTACATGCCTGGTACTCAATTCCTTCAAGTAACAGGTCAAGTGTTAATGGCCCTTAAGAAGCTAAGGCTGAGACAAGGACGTAAGTATTGTTTAATTATTGGATCCTCATGATCCAATACTTAAACAGGATGGGCAACTGCGGTACATGGATGACCTTAGACATTTCTTTATTTTCAATTAATATAATCGAAAATTTGAGCATTTTAAGATAAGTATAAAATTTAAATATTTAAAATTTTCGCATATGCAAATAGAAGACATAGCATATTTTCAGTAAGAATTTAATTTTTTTAAAACTTGAGTCACGCTTAGTTCGCCGCAATGTTTTTTTCAGCTTGTTTCTGCAGCATACTGCTAAAATACGTTTATATTTAGTACAAGCCGCCCAAGTGTGAGAAGAAAAGCGAAAAGAACAATAGTTCATAATAATTTTAATTATATAATAATTGAATCAACCTGACATAAAAAGGCGATAATGCTAATTATAATTATGCAGTAATGGAATCGAATTAAAAAATATTTTTTATCACGGTCACTGGATATTGTTATGTGTGTAAAGAAAGCTGTGAATTTAAAAAGAATTCTTTTATATAATAATAATTTAAAGTTCTTTTCTGTATAAGGCTCCTTATGCTTAATGTTTAAAAATTTAAAATTACTTTGAGTTTGAGATAACGAATGTGTAGCTGAATGATTTGGCGTTTTGTGGAATTTGGCATTTGAATGCGTATAAAAAAATTCTAGTTTGATCTGATTAAAACTTCAGAGTATCAAAAGACACTGAACTAAAATCTATTCTAAGAAAACTTTATATGATTATCAAAAAACTACATTTATATTTAGAAAAAAGCAGTTATCTCTCTAATGACAGTCTATAAAATATATATCCAGGAAATGAGTTATCCAGACAAGTACCTTTCATTAGCATAATTAAGGGATTTTAAAGTATAACATAATTTGAGCGAAATTTAATTTGATATTTTCAGACGACATAGGCTATTTCCTAGACATTCAATATCTGGAAATTTTCCATCATGTAAATTTGTTTCAAATTTCCACAACCACAAGCGACGTATTATATTATGGCGATTTCAACGATTATATTTCTTCTCAGACTCAGTTACTGGCTGTTGAACTGGCCTGCAGCTTAGAGGTTTCGTAATTTTCCTCATGTTGCTAAAGCTCATGTTCGAAATTCCTCCTCGAAAGTATCCGTCCACCATTACGTGAGCTAGATGTGGCATAGATAAATTTACGATTGGTTAACTGATTGGTATATTGTAACAAAAGTACAAATTTATCAAAATATTTCAGCAACTCTTTGTTTTTGCTTTAGTATTATAGAAAATCTTATTAAAGATATATAGTCTTAGTTTATGATAGATGCTTTATGTGAAATTGAATCTTGGATGAAATTTTTGTTGAGATAATAGAGAAAGACAATTTTTTAAAGAAATGTACGTTCACTTATGAAAACGTTTTCTCAATGATTTAGAATTTTTTCAATTTTAAATTTTAGTATCTGAGGAATTTCTATTGATAAAAAACAAAACAATCAGAAAATCGATTTCACGACTGAAATGCAAACAATAAGAAAGAAAAGAAAAATAACTTACTATTAGCTGTTTATCATGGCCGTCATAATATACAGAGAAAATCAAAGAGAAACCATCGCAGAGTAGAACCATTCAAACCCAAACGGAATCCAGTGATTATAAGGATTGATAATTTTAGAAGCTTATAATGTATTTTTCCCGCCTTCTTAGCATGCCTTCGTAGTGTAGTGGTCGGCACGCTCGGCGGGTTTTCGAGAGGCCCGTTGTTCAAGTCCCGGAGAAAACGTGGCCACTTTTTCACATATCTAACTTTAAAAAATACCTAATGTCTCTACGAGCTCATTCGCATTTTCTTCTTTACGATATTTCTACACTTAAACACAGTACTAATATTCCTTACGTAATGTAACCATCAATCCTTAAGGATGCATGAATGCTTTCTTACCAGCGACACAGGAAGCTTGATTTGAAAGATTCAGTAAAAGATTCTGTGCTAAGTATTAGTGCTACTTAATAAAGAAGACAGAAAACAGTGTATTAACTTTAAATTCTCTTTCTGTGTTAGATTTTTTTATGTTCGTAGAAAGTTGTTTCTTAAATCCGCATTAAGCTTAAGTCATAATTTAGTATCCTTAAGAGCTTTCGGAGGCTAAAGCAAAAGTTCTTCCTAATTGGAGAAGGTTCTAGAGATCTGGTCAAGAGCAATGAAAACATTCAAGAAGAAAGATAAACACGAAAGATACATTTTTAAGTCTTTTAGCCTAATTAAATTTATTTGCCACAATGCATTCATTTGGGCATTTTTGAACATCAGTATTACACCTTGCGCATGTTGACTTTCTTGCTGTCATTTTCTGTACTATTAAAACGAAAGGAGTTCCTTTTTATACTAGTTAAAGGGGTGGTTTTCACGGTAATAAACGAAAATGTTTCTTGGTGTTTAAATTCATATTGTGATAACAGTTCCTATTTATTGAATCGATATATCTATATTCTTAAGTCTTCTTAAGTTTTTTGAACTTATTGTTAACTTATTGTGAGGAATAGTGGAGTATTATATTTACATAGTAACGAAATTTATTTATTTTAAAAGTACATTTAAGGTACTATTCAAATACATTTGAAAATAATTCTCAATATGAGGTAAGCTAAGCTAGAAAGCAAAGGAAACCTTTTTAATAAATTCCGTTATATTTAAACTACATCAGTTTGCAGATTTTTGGCTATACTGCAACACCTGTTTTGTGAAAGCATAAGGTATTAATATTTCTACAGGCGATCTTGAGAGAGTGGTCTTTTATGCACTGAAAGGATTTTAATTATTTGGACCGCATATTGCTTATTTATCTTAATTCAACTCTGAAATCTGTAACTCTATCTTTTCTTGGTTAAGGTTATGTGCTTTTCCTAGTATAACTGTTTTTGCCGTTTGAAGGAAAATGAAAGAAACATATAAATATTCAAAACAGATAAAAATAATATAAATATTCATCCTGAATTTCTTATACAAAATCTAATTAACTGGAATAATGTAAGAAACCTTTTAAATTATTTGCGAGCCTTTTACTAACGGAAATATTTCAGAAAAAAAAAACTGAGGATTTTAAAAGAAGTGTCATATCAAGTTATAATAGGTATGTTTTATTTACTTATTTATTGGAGCACACTAAATGCTCACAAACAGGAAAATGTTTTTCCGTGCTACGTTGATTATGACGTCTCCCTTTTATCAGTGAAAGTTTGTTAATGTGGATAACTTAATGTAATTAAAGCTGGAGAAAATGTTGAATTCATGCTTTTTGTTTACGACTGAGTTGCGATAAAAATTATCTCGAAAGAATTTGTCCAGATTAATCCGTAAGATTAAATAACCAACTTAGAGAAAAGATACAAAATTATAAAGCTGGTAAATTGTTTCATTAATCTTGTTTTGTATCTGTTCATTGCTAGTTGTCGAGATACTCTAATATGCAATATCATATGAATAATTATATGACTCAGTCAACTTTCATGAAATATTTATCACATTGTTATGCATTTTATCAAAAAGGTTATTTGATACTCGGATGTATCTATTAATTTACATAAATATCATTTAGCTAAATTAAATTTACTATTCTTCTTTTATTAACCATAACTTAAAAAATTATTTACAGAAGAATTTAATATGTGGAAACAATTTAACAAAAAGTGAGAACTCCAGCTCGAACAACGCTGAAACAGAATTAAATATAAATGTGTGATGTAACCAATATGTATACAAGAATCATCCTTAGTTAAGAACTTATTCAACGAAATAGATTAAAGGGAAACGTGAAATTTTCTGATATATTATTTCAAATGGATGGTTTGCTTTGTTAGTTAAAAAAAATCACGTAGTTCATTTAGCCTAAGAGAAAGGAAACTTTAGAGGAAGGCTTTCTAAGTGGCACTAGCTCATATTCACTTTACTCATTGGGATGACAACGAAAGACGCCAGTCTTTTCTCCAGGGTTTGAGCCCGAATTGAACTACCAGTATTGTAAAAGTTCACCCACTGTATGTTTCTAAGCCTTCATTGTTCTCAGCATAACTGGAACTTGTTTCTAAAACCTGTGCCTGGGTCAACTTACCAAACTACCTGCTTTGGTTCCTTTAAATGACTGTCAAATATTTTTTTGAAGCTTTATAACTTAAATAAAATTCTTAAGCTGTTATTAAATTGAAAAATGCAAAAGATGTGTACCTATAACTTGTCTATTAAATAATCATTAAGAGATATTATATTATTTATTTAAAATTAGTTATTTATCGTTACTATGTCTGAAATTCACATTATAGAAACCGAATTTATCTTGAATCTGTTCGAACCGACTTGCAGGCTTTTGCACCAAATTCTAGTAACGAAATCACGATATCATCATAAAGGAAAAATTAGATTTTAAGGCTAAAAATTAAAGTCTTCACAAAAATTACGTTTATATCTTTTTCACTGAATGACACCTTAACAGATTAGAAAAGAGTGAAATTCATGTTCTTATGATTATTAAAGAAATAATATTCAGGTTAATGTGTCTTCAAGTACTCCAGGTAGGTACTTGAATTATGTTAAATATACGTGTTTAAAAGTGAAGTCCATTTGATAGCAGGCCCACCAGCAACTGAGCGATAAGATCATTGGACATTTGTAGTTTGACCCTCGTTCAAGTCTCCCAGCAAAAAGGGAGTGGCTGCATAGAAGGTTTTGTGCCTTTCTAAAAATGTAATGAGAATACTAGTCAGTTCACTCTAAAAATCCTCCAAGAAGGTTTCCCTTCCCTTAGGCAGATAGCCCCTGTGAGCTTTAATTTAATCAATTCATGTAACCTAATCTTATAGTGGTGCGGGCCTTTGGTATGAGAAATAAATACATCATATGGGTCTATTTTAGGTGAACTTATATGATTTGCCAAGAGGTTGAAGGGATAATAATGGTATTAAAATTCCCAGGAATTTTTTTCTCACTTGTGAGTAATGTAAAATATTTTATAAACAAAATTATATATAATGTAAAATATTTTATAAATAATATGACATATTTTATAAACAAAATCTGCCTTGTTAAGTTAAATATATTCTGGTAATATCCTTCCACTATTTGTTTGATTTTCCAGTAAGAAGTCTTGTATAATATTTGTATGAAAAGTGTGTTGTTATATGGGTCAAAACACAGAACTATTGATGAAATGAGCAAAAATAAATTATGAAATTTATTTGATTCGAAACCTTTTCGCTGCTTTGTTGCATGCTTCCATAGTATCCACTGGTGGAAGACGATTCTCTGATTGGTCCAAACTGTCGGTTTCTTGAGCTCTACATCGTTGCAGTTGTCCCGCACGAGGGCTCGATCTTCGGATCACCATAGGCGGTGTTCCATTTCCAGTTTTCTCGCGATTAGCTGAAAGACACAAAAGGGAATTTTAAATTATTTAAAATTTACAACAATCTCGAAACATCTCATTATATGTGCAAGCATTCCAAAATATAGGTAAACTTATAGATTTTAAGTACCATATTTATAACGCCGTTATTGAAAGAATTTTATTTAGTTATGCTTGGTAGCATCATATATAAAAAATAATCGACTAATTTCATAGTATTAATTGCATGGTTACGTGATAATCGATTAAGTATATAATACAGATTGAAAATATTGACTGAAATGATATTAAACTCTGAGCTCTTAACAGATCTGTGGACATTTAATCATTTCTCATATTTCATTTGCCTGTTCCACTCACCATTTTTCATTGAACGTTTAAGTACAGTTAATATATTTTAAGTAATTTATCAGACTGAGCAGCACTATGAAAAAAACTAAATACGTTTAAAAAATTTCAAGTTCATAAACTTCACTTAGTTTTGTGTTCAGGAATAAGTCTTCGCTTTTAACTTTCTGTTCAGGAGTAAGTATTCCCTTTTACTTTTTTATAACTTACACGACTGTGACTGGTCATCACTCGTATTGCCCTCCGACTGAGATATTTGTCATACGAAGTTTAGATGTCAACTCCTCGGAAAATTCTAGGGCTATGATAGTGAGATGAGCATCACTTTGAGCAATCAGGGAAAGACAAAATTGTAACTGCGTTGTATGAAAAAAGTTAAATTGAAACTTGGGCGTAAGCTGATATAGGAGGCATATCATCTAAACATATGGGACAGCTGATAAAAAATAATAAAATTAAAAAATATATATCAGTACAGAACTATGTTACAAAGCAGAATATAGGTAATAGCGTTGAGTACAGCCCGGGAGTATGCCGCCATACTCGTACTGCTGCGGGAAACTTAGGCTGTGGACGTGTTTGGGGCAACCTGCATATGGCTTTACATGGCTGACAGGCAGCTATGTCATGACTGTACAAATATAACTGCATAACAGCAACTGAACAATAATTTTATAATGACAGTTACACCTCTTTCGAAAAGTCAATATTTCAAATGCAGATTTAATCTACAGCAGTTTTTCAGCGTGATCTTGATCGTGTTCATGTGAGTATTTTAAACATGTTGAGTACAAGAATACTACATTACGTTTCAAGCCCGGTATATCGATGGTATATGCCAAATGAGTACCTCAACTATTGAAGGCAAAAATAAACGTTCTAATTATTTTAGAGAACAACTTTTGTTGGTAAATACTGATGGAGGTAAGTTTTATTCAAACGAAAGAAGATAGCACGGCGTGGAATCATACTGGGACATTCAAAATCCACATGCTCAAAATACTAGGTTTCTGTTGTGAAGATTGTTTCGGCTTTTTGAAATAAAGAAATGCCATTGCTTCATCGATTATTTGCCACGTAACTTTGCGATAGCAGATGGTTTCTATACAAATTTATTCGCATAATTAAAACAATCAATAAAAGCAAAATATCGTGGCTAACTTAGAAACAAAAACCGTTCCTTTTGCTTGGCAACTTACTCGTCAAAAGGCTATTCCTCAACAAAGCTTAAACTTCTCAGGCTTGCTACTGAGCAGTGCGAATAACAGTTTTCTCCATTCACCATCTTCCCCATATATGATTCAAAATGACTTCACTTGTGTTAAAAACAGAAACAGCACTTTCATGATTCAAACTACAGTGAGGGGGAAATAAACTACACCGTTCAGAAATGGTTTCAGGATTGTAACAAAACACTTATTCCTGTTTGAGTTTGGTGCTGAAGTAATGGAAATAGTAAGTGAATTGAAATAAATGGATTACATAAATTATAACAAAGTATGTTCTGAAATCAAGGGTAACTGCATAGAAAACTTCATTTTTAAGTCTTTCTCAAGTCATTTTTGACGACTCTCGCTTAAAAGTGTGTTAGCTTAAAACTTATTGAACTATATATATATATATATATGTATATACAATCCATAGGTCTTATAACATATCAAAGGCCGAGAGTTAAAATCTCTGAACACTGGTAGTTCATACCTGCGTTTAAACCCCGGCGAGCGGAAAGGCTGTATTTGAGATTTCGTGATTTTACTGTTACGTAACGTGAATACTAATCAGTTTCCCTTAAAAGATCTTGCATGAAGGCAGTCCCTTCCTTCAAATAACCCTTGGCTACTTTGCCATAACCTAAATAGTGAAATTTAGTTCATCGACAACAGATCTTATTTTATAGAGTCTATATGTATTCTTTGGTAGCATGCACCCTGAACTCTACGTTAAAGATGAAGCAGCCAATTCTAGCTATGCCTTTAAGAATAAATACTGCAAAAGAAAGATTGAAATAAAATTTTTATTTAAAACTAAGTTAAAGCAGATGCACGCACTTCGTGCCCACAAATCACCGCCACTTATGGCTACGTAACAGAAAAATAAGAATGTAACAAATCACTAGTTTAATTAAGAAATTCTAATGACAGGTTCCTTAGCTTAAATTAACGCTAAATCGGTTGCACACAGCAAAGCCGAGCCGAGAAATATCAGTATAAACTGAAAGGTGTGGGACACCGAACTAAAGAGTTAATTTTAAACTCGCAGCATAAACATCGGAACTAAGTCCACTACTACTCTTGAACTTCAGCTTCAATACTGCTTCGGAAACACGTTGAGGAATTTGCATCTAACTCGTACAAAATTTACATTCCAGGCAGGAAACTAAAATGAGGAGGAAAAGGAAAGAAAGCTAAAAATAACTGGTTAGAAAAAATAAATCCTTACAATTTCAGGCCCAGGTCAGCCTGCCTCTTGCAGAACTTTAGGTACAAACATTGTGTGAAAACAAATACATTCTAATTATAAGTAAGAAATAAAATAAAAACGACACAATTTTACACATGAGCTAAACGTATATAAATTAAGGTTCTACATATAGATATTCACTGATTATTTTATATCTTCTTTCGAAGAACCGATTATCGAGGTACCTGGAAAACAACATTTTGGAAATCAAGGAAATCTGAAAAAGGAATTTGAAAGAATACTGCATAAGAGTGCTAGTCATATATCCTCACAATTTTCTTAATTTTATTTGCTCATCTGTGGCATCTTAGCAGCTATTGTTTTTTAATCACCTAAAAATACGTAGTGATAAAAATTCCTATATATTTTTTATTTCAAATTAATACAGGTTCAAGACTGGAAAATCTTTTTTGTTAGATTATAGAATAAAAAATTTGGGGGTATAAGATCTAATATGTTTGGCTATCATAAAATGGTATCTAGATCTACTTGAGAGGGTACCTTTCGAATTCTTGCACAGGCGTGAAGATGAACACAACAGGAAAAGGGTGTAAAAGACCCTTTAACCGCTGTAGGACTTTCACTAGTGATCTTCTGAATGTTAGAATTTTCTTCACAACTGTGCAAGAATTCGAAAAGTATGCCTTTAAGTAGATCTAGATACCATTTTATGATAACCAAGTATATTAGATCTCATACCCTCTCTATTGACCTAAAATTTTATATTCTATAATCTATATATAAGAAGGTTTGCCAGTTTTGAACGTTCATTAATTTGAAAAAAAAATGTGTAAGAATTCTTATCACTATATATTTTTAGATGACGTCTCATCTAAAAATAACAGTAACTGCTAAGATGCCACAGATGAGCAAATAAAATTAAGAAAATTCTAAGACTATTTGACGAGCACTCTTATGCAGTATTCTTTAAAAAAAATTTTCGGATTTCCTCCAGTTTCAAAATTTTGTTTTCCAAGTACCTCGATGATCGGTTTTTGGAAAGAAAATATTAAATAATAAGTGAATGTCTGAGTGTAGAACCTTAATTTATATATGTTTAATTCATGTGTGAATTTGTGCCGTTTATATTTTATTTCTTGTTTACAATTAGAAATTATTTGTTTTTAGACGTTGTTTATTTGCAGAATTGTTTGCTTTTAACGAAGAGGGACCTGTACTCGTTTTTCCTCGAAATCGATTGAGATCTTGACATAAATATGAGCCAAACTCAAGGCTGTTGAGTTGCTAATTTGATGACATTTTATTTATCACAAACTATTTAACAGATGTCACGGACTATTGTGCTTACAATCAAAACACCGTCCACTTGTGGTGAGAACGTAACCGATAATGTAACAATAAATTTAAAGGTAAAGATATAGTGGTAAACTACACAATTAAATTTAATGTAACAGGCTGACTCAGAAACCTTCGTCGGTGATATATTAACTAGACGCCCAGGATGCGTTGCCGCTGCTGAGATTAGCAGCTGGAGAACAAACTAGCAAACATGAGTTTAACTAGCGAAATCACGCTTTGTCTAACATTTTCGTTCCACTAGTTTAAATACTTTCGTCCACCCACTTAATTTGCATCCTGGCGAGGAAATGTGAGGGAGAATAACAGAATTTAGGAAAGGCTCACAAATTAAAGTAACTATTAGTAAAACATAATAGAGCCATAAAAGGGAGAATTAAATGCAGTTTATATATAATTTGAATTGCTTAGGGAATGAAAAAAAGTCAGTCACTTAGATCTACCAATATTTTTTCTATACTTAAGGAGAAATTACATACACGCACACATATTTATAAAAAATCATGTAACCAAAGCCTGTTTTTAGCTTAGTAAAAATAAATTATACATGGAGAAGTCTAATTCTTTGTCGCAATGTTTAGAAATATATATATATAGAGAGAGATGTATATATTTTTCACGCGAACAAACAAACGCATAGTTTTGTTAAAAGACAGTAAAGCTTTCAGATGGCTAGAACAGAAGTGCTAGTGTTCTTGCCACTGGTGTAAGTCCTGCAGCGGTTATCACAATAACTCTGTTGGGAGAAATTCACCGCAATGAAAAAATTACAAACTCGCAAACCGACTGCAATACCAGAATAAGATAGAATATTATATTGCTACTTTTAGTTTAGCGGAAAACCTGTCTCCGCGGAATTCCTGTGAGTGCAACTCCATTCATTCTACTGAAC